CCGCCCCGGGTGCGGAGCCGGGCGGGTCCCTGCGGTGCAGCCGGGGGGCTGCGGGGCGGAGAGGAGCCCACGCAGGAATACGTGGAGCCCCGATTTTCCCTTATTTCCTTCCACAGACCTCTCTCCCTTGTCTCTTTTTCCTCCCCCACTGGGAGCCGGGAAATCGAGTTAATAATGTTTCAAATACTTGAGAAGTCCGGGCTAACGGGAGCTCCGTCTACCTTTCCCCGCTCCCGGATCCGAAGAGGTTGCCTGGACTAGGAGGAATGTGCCTTTTTCTTGGTGGGGGGGAGGGTAATTTTCATTCTTGTAATATTGGTTTGGGGATAATTACTTTTAATGTCAAAAAGATTTAGTTTAATATCATCTCTATTAGGCTGCTGGGCGGATAATTAAAAGTGAAGATGATAGCAGCAGGGAAACAGATGGCATTTGCTTACTTTGATTCAGTAGGTAAATAATGAAAAAGTCAATGGCAAACCCCCTAGAACAATTGAAACCTTAAAGAGCACTAACATTAGCAGGTACTTACAAACTGTCTTCCGCTAAGAACGAGATGAAAATACACTAATCAAGAACTATATTTCTCTGGGATGGTTGCGGGGGCTGCGCTGCCTCCGGGCGTGCGTGTCTGCCTTCCCCTACACGGCAGCCAATAGACGGGCTCTTTTTAATTAAGATTTTACTACTGTAATTGGGGGAAGATGCAGCAGCACCGTTCCATGCAGCCCTCGCAAACTTTTGCAAGGGAGCAGGGATACATAGGAAGCCTTTAGGTGAATCAAGTGGGAGTGAGGAGAAAAACAAACACCGGGAAGATTGGGTCTTCTTAAAAAAACCAACCAAACAAAAAACCACAAAAAAAAAAAACCACCAACCCAAAAATCGTCTCGTGTTTTATCGAGCTGACCCCGATGTGAGCACTGAGTCGTGGGCGCCGACTTGGTGCGTTTCTGGAGGCTGCCAGAGTCAAACACATCACGGGGATAATTAAGCAGCGACCGGGGCACCACGCAACGAAACGCGGCGTTTCTTCCCGTTCCTGTAGCGAAGTAACGTCGCCTTTCACGCGTCTGGAGGGCGCAGGTTGCCCAAACCGGGGGCGACGCCGTGCCCCGTAACGCCCGGCCCTGACCCCCCAGCCCGGGGGCTCCGCGGGGCCGGCAGCCGCCTCGCCCCAGCCCGGGCAGGGCTCTCGCCCTGGGGGGACCCGCTCCCCCCCGGCCCCGGAGGTGGGCC